GGAAAGGAGGCAGCGAGAGAGAATAAGGGGGAAGAAACAAACGGGCCACCGGAGCCGGAGGAATCTGTTTTCTGGTTTTCTGAATGCTAACAATAGCACTGGGTAGGCCGGCCCCCGCGAGCCCCCGCGAGCCCCCGCGAGCCTCCGCGAGCCCCCGCTCGACCGCGCGATCGCGCGAATGCGCGACCAATCGCGGAACCGCGGGACCCTCGCCGCTGCTCCAGGAAGGTGCTTCAGGGGAGTCTTCGCCCTCGCCAAGGCGCTGTAAGCCACGCGCGCGAAGTGACGAGGTGCCCTGGCACCCTGGAACCTGTAGGGTGCTTCCGCATAGCCATTGCGTACCTCTGTTCTTGTCGCACTCATGGGTGACTGGCATAGGGCGGAGGCGGAAGAGAAAGAATACCACCACTCTGTGGAATCACCTGCTGGCGCCCCTTTACCACAACCTCGGGGGATCCACTCCAAATCGTGGCCCGATCCGCTTCCCCCGAGGGAACGTCGCCCGCCCTCCTCCCTATACCAGGTGGCTGATGAACGCCGCGTACTTTCGTAGTTATACTGTACCGCTTGCACGGGTGCGGGCGGGTTTGCCTATGCTCGCTGCCTACGGCTCCTTACGGCCCCGTGCGAGTAGGCAACCCGCTCGCACGCGTGCATGCGGTACAGTATAACTACGAAAGTGCGCGGCGTGAATCAGCCACCTGGTAGGTGGTAGAAGAAGCACATCCCTTGGAGACCCGCCCCCAATCTCGGCCAACCTATAACTAGAATTTATGAACTGAATATTCGACATCCGCCCTCGCTAGCGAAGGCACGCCGAGAGGCCTAGAAGGGTTAACTTTTCTATTTGTACAGAGTATTTAAAGTTGAAGCAGCTCGCGCGGCTGACATCACACCTCCTCAGTCAGTCGACGTTCCGCTCATACCTCAGGGACGTTTGCGAGGGATTGTGTTTTTTGCGGTGGTAGCCGGCGCGGTTGCGCGCGTCCGCTGAGCATCACGGAACTCCACACTCGCTTAGCGGCCCATCCATAAATTACATTTTCTTCTACTACCACGCAGCGCGTGTGCCAGTGCCTCTATGCCCCGCATGCGCGCTGCATTTGATATTGTTACGGGGCCAAACCGTTATTGGTTCCTTATCGATCGTCAAGTCCCAGCGCGATCGCGACTCCCTATCGCCGCGGCCGGCATCTGCCATACGACCTCCTCTATTAAATGATTGCGATCTGAGCCGGACGAGAGAATTATTGGGAGGATCCTGCCGATCCGATGGTGGGCCACGAGCAGCCATGGGAGCATAGCGCTGCCGTGCTCCGCGCTCTACCGGCTCTACCATTTGGAGGGGAGCGGCCGGGTCAGGGTGAGATCACGTGCAAAAACGGCACCTCTGCACCGCCGACCCCCCC